AAATTCTTTATGGATTTTTTGTACCGTTTGTGTGTTTAACGCATGAAAACCCTTATAAGACCCATAGTGAAATCTTTTAGAATTAATCCCTCCCCTAATGATTTTAGGGGCTGCACTTTGCTATTAATATATTATATCTAAGAAATTACTTATTTTAATGTTAGTTTTAACTCTTGAATTTTAGACCTCACTAATAAAACAATACTTACTTATCAAACCTTTAAGTTATACATAAAAGAGTTGCTACAAAATTGATCATTTGTTTTTCTTTTCAGCGCAATCACTTTAAGTTGATTATTGACTAAAACAAACACACAACTAGGTTAGCTGTTTATGGCGACGTATATTTTTGTTAAGGGCATTATGGCTATACAATTTTAATTAGTATTTTATTAATATAATTATTGAGAATAATTAATAGTTAATAAAATATTGAAGATTTACTATTACTTAATAAATTGAAATCATTTCATGAGCAAATATTTGTAAACATCATTTCTAACTATTTAAATTTCATAAATTTATAAAATATCGATCAAAAGTACATGACTATAGATCAAGCAAATTCTACTAGTATTATATTTTGTTATCCAGTTGAAATCCTTTTCATTGTTTTGGGTATAATTTCCTATAATAGTATCATGAATATGCGGTAAAAATCTGCAGCTCGGTTTTCAAAGCTTTTCTTCCTTCCCTTGTGGGAGTTTGTTTCTCACAGTAATATTATCATGAGTGATTTTTTTATTTTTCGAAAAGTAAAATTTTAGTCATGGAGTACAAAAATACTTAATCCATCAAAACACAGAGTTGGAAAGTAGAAGCCCCACGTAGAAATCATCAGTGATTGTTTTGCTTCCTCTACGTGCGTGGCTTGTTGATGAGGCAGTTGGAGGGTTTCTCTTCTTCCTTCCGATTTCTCATTGCTTTAGGCAGATGTTGTGATTGTTGGCTCTATGATGTTGGGGTCAAACAACAATGGCAAACATTGAATTATAGATTTACATGTTATGGTGATTAGAAGTGGTGTAGCGGGCTAATGATGCAGTGACCATATGGTGAGGGGTCAGCAGCTTGAAGAGATGGGCACATTGATGGGAAATGTTATTGAATTAATTAATTTGGTTTTTAAAATTTAGAAACCCTTAAATAAAATTATGTAATTCTATAATTTAATTAAATTTGAAATTTTAGGTATTTGTTTTAAAATTTTGTATTCAATAAGTTGACAATTTTAATTCGTAATTTTGGTTTTCTAATTATTAATATTAATTGTTCAAATTTTAAAAACCAAAAGCTTAAAACTACAACTATACTAAATAGAGTCTTAAATA